TTACTCCAGGTTAATTTCAGCATAGCCCAGTCTAGTCTAATAAGAGCTCCTGTGCCTTGTTAATTATTAACAAAAGTCTTTCCTATATTTCTTCAAACTCTGTTTAAATTTTTTCCTGTGTAAACTGACATATACCCAAGGTAGGTAGTTGCCTTTTTTAAAACTTTGGCTGGAAGTTGATTTTATCAGAAAAGACATTGATATTCCTACTGAGGATAATAAACTCAGGGAAAATCAAAAATGGCAACAAGAAACCTTTCACTTGCTGAGAAAGCTTGCTCTTTTCTTTTCCCTTCTCCTCACTGTCCACATACAATAAATGAAGAAAATTTTCTGAGGAAATGCCCTAATAATTTGTGAAGATAATCTCAAAAGATTTTGAGATTTTCAATTAATACCTCATCATTCTTGAAATTGGATTCTATCGTTTAGAAAGCTATACCCATATTTTTTAGCTAAAATTTTAAAAAAGCAAAAATAGTATTAACCAAGAAAACCATAGCTCAAATGTTAACCTGCCCTCTCAATTTCTGTTTTCAAGGAATAATCTCCATATAAGTATTCTTTCAGCCAGTTCTTTTTTTGTAATCCAGTTGTACACATTCTTTTCACATTGTTATATTTTGCACACATATGCACAAAAATTATGAGCCTTCAAGAAGAAAATATATGTGGTCATCTATTTCTTCACTGCCAGCACACAAGATTTTAACAGAGTTTATTTTAAAATAAGGCAAGGAACCCTTAGAGTCTGAGTTGTTTCTTTATTAGAGGTGTGAGACCTGGCCCCACACATTTCTGTTCTGGAAAAAGTCCATTGACACCTTGAATCACTTGGTAACATAAATCAAAATTAAGCAAGTCTTAGAACATAAGTTTCATAAGCCATAGCAAATAAAAAATAGTAAAAAAAAATATAACCTGATGTTCAAATGCATTCACATAAAACTCCACAATATTTACTGCCCAGCAGGAATATGTCAAAATAATTAGACAAGTATTCTGTACCTGAGAAATCCATGGAGAACTTGAAATAATCATGGGGCCAAAAATGTAGGCACATGTAAATGAAAACTACATATGAACTGTTCACTCCCACTACACATCTTTGAACTAAGAACTATATCTATCACACACCAGGGCCTGTTGGGGGTAGGGGGCAAGTGGAGGGAGAACATTAGGGCAAACACCTAATGCACGCAGGGCTTAAAACCTAGATAACGGGTTGATAGATGCAGCAAACCACAACATGTATACCTATGTAACAAACCTGCACATTCTGCGGATGTATCCCAGAACTTGAAGTAAAATTTAAAATTTTCAAAAAGAACCATCTCTGGCCGGGCATGGTGGCTCACGCCTGGAATCCCAGCACTTTGTGAGGCCGAGGCGGATCACTTGAGGTCAGGAGTTCGAGATCAGCCTGACCAACATAGAGAAACCCTGTCTCTACTAAAAACACAAAAACTAGCTGGGCATAGTGGTGCATGCGTGTAATCCCGGCTACTCGGGAGGCTGAGTTAGGAGAATCACTTGAACTCAGGATGCTGAGGTTGCTGTGAACAGATAACACGCCATTGCACTCCAGCCTGGGCAACAAGAGCGAAATTCCATCTTGAAAAAATTGAAAAAGAACTATGTCTATAATTTATTAGAGTGACTAGATAAACAAGGTTCCTTCAGTATTGCTTAATGACAGGAGTAAAAGATGAAAATTGTTAACATGCCAAGTTGGAGGACATTTTATTATCCTAGTAGCTGGTTCAAGACTTTCTCTTATGTAAACATTTGACTTTGCTAGAAAAATATCATCATAAGCCCCTTTGGTGTAAAATCTGAAATGCAGCAGGGTTTGGATGTGTATAGAAAGACCTACAATGAGGCAGTGAGGGGAAGAGGAGAGGTGGAGCCTGTAAAATGGGAGAGGAGTGTGATGGAAGAAGTGACACCACAGTGTCAGTTTCAGTAGAAAAGAGGTGAAGAGTCTGAGCTTTGCCTTCATGTTAGCATCCAGTGAAACCACAGCAGTACACAAGGACACCTGAAGAAATAAGTTATTGGAAATTCATACCGATTATTGCAAGGTGCACTCCAATCTTAAAGGCCAGGGCTGATGACAAGATCATTCATCACCATCTGATATGGTTTGGCCCTGTGTTCCCACCCAAATCTCATGTTGAATTATGATCTTCAGTGTTGAAGGAAGGGACTGATGGGAGGTAACTCGATCATGGGGGTGGATTTCCCCCTTGTTGTTCTCATGATAGTGAGTGAGTTCTCGTGAGAACTGGTTGTTTAAAAGTATATAACAGCCAGGAGCGGTGGCTCACTACTGTAATCCCAGCACTTTGGGAGGTCGAGGCGGGCAGATCACGAGGTCAAGAGATCGAGACCATCCTGGCCAACATGGTGAAACCCCATCTCTACTAAAAATACAAAAAAATTAGCTGGGCGTGGTAGTGCACGCCTGTAGTCCCAGCTACTCGGGAGACTGAGGCAGGAGAATTGCTTGAACCCGGGAGGTGGAGGTTGCAGTGAGCCGAGGTCGCGCCACTGCACTCCAGCCTGGTGCCTGGTGACAGAGTGAGACTCTGTCTCAAAAAAAAAACAGATCGCTTGAGCTCAGGAGTTTGAGATCAGTCTGGGCAACATCACTGTTTTTTAAATTAAAAAATAAAAATAAATAAAATATAAAAAATGTATAGCACTTCCCCTTCTCTCTCTCTCTCTGTCCTGCTCTGCTATGTGATGATTGTGCCTCCTTCCCTTTTGCCTTCCACCATGATTGTAAGTTTCCTGACGCCTCCCCAGCCATGCTTCCTGTACAGCTCGCAGAACTGTGCGCCAATGAAACCTCTTTCCTTTATAAATTACACAGTTTCAGGTAATTTGTTATAGCAGTGTGGGAGCTGACTAATATACCATCATAACTAACATTTATTAAGTGCTTAATTATGTATCAGATATTGTTCTAAGACCTCTATTCATATTAACTCAATAAATCCTTATTGTTCTAAGAGCTATATTCATATTAACTCAATAAATCCTTACACCAGCTATGGAAGGTACTATTAGTCTCCATTTAACAGAAGAAGAAAGTGAAGTGCATAAAGGTTAAGTAATGTGCCCAAGGTTGCACAGATTGGTGTGTATCTGTGTCAGAGATAAGATTCAAACTCCAGCCCTCTGAACTCAGAGCCTCCCCTTTATACCATTGTGCTGTCTCTTATTTTATAAAAAGAGACTATAAAGTTCATCTAATTCAGTCGTCCAACAAACTCAGCTTCCTTATAAAAAGCCATGCTCTTACTAGATGCCCACTGTGATGAGGAGGTCTCTAATCTGAGAGCCAGAAGTATTATACTAGAAAACATACTTGACAACTTTTGAAGACAGAAAAATCACCCACTTTTGTCAGTACCTTAGGGAAACCAGTTTTGTGAATCATCAATGAAAATATGAGTATAAAAAGCATCACTTAAAATTCCTCAACAACACATCGAATTTTATGGTAAATAAAGCATTCTTTACTGCAGAAGGCCATGCAGGTATCTTACTGACTGACTCATCAGTAAATGCACATATTTTGTATACATGAGACAACAGAATTTATGTCTTAGAAGACATCTGAACAACTAAAGTATGCACCAAAACTAATCTGTATGTCCATGAGTCAGACAACCAGGACAGCAGGTTTTAATAACTACAAAACAAGAAAGAGAAGGACAATGGTCACCAAAAGGCACACTGGTGACTAATGAGTTATGACTAACAATATTTCAAAGACAGTTGCAACATAATTGGAAATGGTAGCAACTACGTACTGGGTACAATAGTGATTATTATCTGGGTCATAGAAAAATAAGAGTATTTAAGTTAATATACTAATACTTCCTGAAAATTTACCAGAATTTTAGTTACATCTATAGACTCACAAAAAGTGTGTCCTTAACAGATAACTGTGAAAATAATGCTTCCTTTGAATTCCCCAGCAAGTTTAAAATTGTGTTTCATCTCTGAAAAAAAAAAAAAAAAAAAATTAAGGCCTCGTGGAAGGGCTCACACCTATAATCTTAGCTGTTTGGGAGACCAGGGCAAGAAGATTGCTTGAAGCCAGAAGTTAGAGATCAGGCTGGGCAACATAATGAGACCCTGTATCTACAAAAAATTTTAAAAATTAACTGGGCACGGTGGCATACTTGAGAAGCTGAGGTGAGAAAATCACGTGGGCCTGGAAGGTCAAGCCTGCAGTGAGCTGTGATCATGCCACTACACTCCAGTCTCGGAGACAAAGTGAGACATTGGCTCAAAAAATAAATAAATAAATAAATAAATAGAAGAATTAAACCAAATAAAGCATGGACACCCCAGTGAGGAGTTAAGACATATAATTCTTTTAAAACATTTCATAATAGAAAATCAGAGGAATAATGAGAAGAATTATATAGGTATTCAACTCCATCTTTCCTAGATCATTAGGAATAAACCTATAAACTTTAGAGGTGGGGGACATCTTAAGATTATTCTACTGTTGTACTATAATTATTAAATATAAATATTTAATTGTAATTATTGGTAAATTTAAATCAGTAGGTATCCCATTTCTAGAACATTCAATTTATACTTGGGCATCTAAACACACACAATTGCTTGTAAAACACTCTTCATGTAATTATAGTTCTAAAGTACTTTGATAGTCATGGTATATTCCTTACTCTGAGAGAGGCAAAAAGAAAAAAAAAAAATCAACAAATAAATAAATAAATGACTTTAGTAGACAAGTCTCCCACTGAAAAGTAATCTTCGGAGGACCAAAGATAGTTAGCAATTTATCAATACTATTAACTTCCCTCTGCATAAATCCTAGCCTAGGGATAAACATATCTAGGCTACACTAATTTAATTCACAAATTAGAATAACAAAGAGAAACTCAGGCCTTTCAGGTCATAAATATCACTAAAGAGGAAGAGTTTGTTGCAAAGAGTCTTCAATTACATACCAAAAAGTTATGAACTTTCTTGGTCCAGTTCTGTTGTCTTTGACCTTTATGGGGAAAAAAAAAAGACAGAGAAAGAGAAAAGTGAGCCATGAGATGTCTGCCTGGACTTAATCACCTAGGAGAAAATCAGAATCCCACCACATCAACCCCAAGAAGCAGCAACAAAATAGTAAGTTGGTCATCGTGAAAATGTTAGAGTAGATAGCTCAGCAAATACAAACAGGTCAGGAAAGTCCCATTACCACCACCACCCAGGAAGATCAGGCAATGTTAAACCATCAGCTGATGGTCAGGCAGTTGTTAAACTGTCTCTCTAAAATAATAATTGGTGGCAGCTGGTGCCAGGGAAAGGCAGTCTCCCAACAGATAGGAAACACTTGAAGCTGGTGATCATCAGCTGCCTGATGAGATCTCAGGAGTTGGCCAATGGGCCCAAGCATGTGCAGTAAGAGGCAAAATGGCAGAGTTTAACTGGTATATGACCTCCCTCCAGGAACACTTGGCTGGTAAGGGAAAAATGCCTCAAGTGAGCACGCACACAGCTTCAGTAAACACACTGAGCATGCTCTCCTCTCAAGTGCTGGCAGGCCACTACACATGCGGAATGCCTGCCCTGAGGGAAGAATCAGGGGAGAAGAGACAGAAACCCCTGCACCATGCCAATGTGTAAAACTTCGAGCCAGAGATCAAACAGGGCACTTGGATCTCTCAAGTTGTTCGCCTGGTGCCTTCCCAAATGTACTTTACCTCCTTTTGTCCCTGCTCTAAAACTTTTTAATAAGCTCTCACTCCTGCTCAACAACTTGCCTCAGTCTCTTATTCTATGTCATGCCCCTCAATTCCTTCGAGGAGGGAAGAGTCAAGTTGCTGCAGTAAGTACCCCATGTCTAGAGCATTCAATTTATACTTGGGCATCTAAACACACAAATTGCTTGTAAAACAGACTCTTCATATAATTAAAATTCTAAAGTACTTTGATAGTCATGGTATATTCCTCACTCTGAGAGGCAAAAAAAAAAAACAAAACAGAAAAAGAAAAATAAATCAATCAACTCATAAATAAATAACTCTAGTAAACAAGTCTGTACAGAGGCACCTCTGCTAACAATAACTTCCCAATGTCTCTCTCAAAAAATGAAAACAAAAGTTTTATCTCATAGGAAAGAAGATCTAGGAAGCAAATTATCACGAAATCAATAAACTGAGATCCTCAAAATGGAATTTTTTTCTAAAGAGGATAGTTAAAAATCATGTTCTAACCCTTTGAATTCACCCCATGATACATTTTTACTTCACTTTTAAATACCATGAAAGATGTGCACGTTCTTTCACAGCTTGAGAACTCCTATCCATTTTCTTGGAATTTTTCCAGCAGGAAAATGTTCAAATTAGTAACAACAATTCCATTCATTGCCTAAAGCATATATTTATAAAAACACAGATTTTTCTTTTTTTAAATCTATATATTTGCATCACACAGAAAAATTAAGTGGTAGGAAGATATGATCTGTAAAAGACACATTTCAAGATCTGTATTTTAATAACTCAATCTACTTGAGCACTAGGATTCTTTACATTTTTTTCCAAAATTTTATTTTGAAAATGTTTAAAACTATAGAAAGTTTGTAGGAATAGGTAGCAATGAATACCTACATGGCTTTCACCTTGATTCCCAAATTATAACAGTTTTCCATGTTTGCTTTATCTCTCTGCATATCTAAACATTTTGCTGAACCATTTAAGCCACTGGTAGACCTAAAGATGGTTTACCCTTACATACTTCAGCATGTACCTCCTAAGAGCAATGATCCTACCACAGTTATGTAATTAATAATGGTCACACTCAGGAAATTTTAAATGGACACAATGCTATCAATATACAGTCCAAATGTTCCCATTTTAACACTAATGTCTGTTTCAGTGTGGAAGATTTGTTATACCTCATTTTAAATTCTGGATTTAATCAAGGATTACCAAGGCATGTCTATAGCCTCCTTTTACCTCTCATGACATGTTTCCGTAGAATCCAGGCCAGTTGCTTTGCCTAACAGCCCTCACTTTGGATTTGACTGATTGTTCCCTCATGACCAAGTCAAGCATTTTTGGCAGAGGTAGTCACAGGTTGGAATGCTTTCCTTCTTTTTACATATTAGGAAAACCACATAACATGTTGGATTAATATCTTCTTTCAATCACTTAATAACACTTAGTGATTGCCTCATATAAAGTAAATTTAGTGTCACAGTTTGCAATTCACAAACTGCTTTGATATGGATTAATTTATGCAATTTGCACTATGATCCCAAGAGGTAGGCTTTTTATTTTGGTCATCTTTTCTCTTCTGAATAGAATTTTATCCAAATTCATACAACCGGCAAGCCTAGTTCAGCGGCCAAAACTTAAGTGTAGAATTACTGTAAAACTCACCCTAGAGTAAGAAACCCTCTATTTTCATGTCAAATAAATCTAGGTCCTTTTTTCTCTTTTGTAACCTCTACTCCCCATTGTCCAGACTCTTTGCCTTACAGTTCTTACTTTGTTGTGTTAAATTACAAGGTAGTGAGGTATCATGATTTAGCTAAACATTTTTTCAACCACAATTATTTCAAATTATAATAATTAAACCAGAAACAATGGGGGAAAAATGGGTATTAAATTAAAAGTGAGCAATATGTTAAAATAAGCTAACACTCAAAGTGACTGGCTTTTCTTCGTGTATTTGCCTTTGCGTTGGTGCAGCAAATCACGTGCCAGCTCTTCCTTTCTCCCCAAACCAGATCTTAGGTCACTTCCTCCTCCTTTCCAAAACAACGAAAATGGTATTTCCTGATGTGGTCATCTATATGTTTACAAGAACTTTTTAGCCATTAAATTAGGTAGTTTTTCTGATTTACATTTTGCCTTGGAGCCTCACAATCGCCGTGTCATTTAGTTTAGAATCAAGTCAAGAAAAGCTTGGGAATCGGTGTATGTAACTTGAGTCATGACCAATAACACGAATCTCTAAATAGGCATTCCAGCCAGAAGGAGAAACAAACAGGTTTCCCAACTTATAGGTCAAGGGTACTGAAGGGGGCAAAAGCCAGAAAAGGTTTAGAGTGATATTGAAATTTAAAAAGCAATACCGGCCAGGCGTGGTGGCTCATGCCTGTAATCTCAGCACTTTGGGAAGTTGAGGCAGGTGGATCACGAGGTCAGGAGATCCAGACCACCCTGGCCAACATGATGAAACTCCATCTCCACTAAAAATACAAAAAAATTAGCCAGGCATGGGGGCATGTGTCTGTAGTTCCAGTTACTCGGGAGGCTGAGGCAGGGTAATCACTTGAACCAAGAGGCAGAGGTTGCAGTGAGCTGAGATCACACCACTGCACTCTAGCCTGGCGACAGAGCAAAACTCTGTCTCAAAAAAAAAAAAGCAGTACCTCCCAAGTCCAGGTAAGTACAACTGCAGATGCTTATATGGGTGGTGTTAGACTCAGCTATACCATCTAAATCATTTTCAGTATAGAAAGATCTTGAAGAAAATAGGGTGCAATTGTCCACTGACAAAAACCACTTTACTAAGACTCAAGCTAAAACAACAGATCAAGAATCATTTACTGCTTCATCCATGTACCATTTCCCTAATACTAAGTGATCTGAATATCTCACTTCAAAGTTAAAGCACAATTAGAGCAATTTAAAATGTCTGAATAAGGAGTGTGATATTATTGCCATTGTCCAGTGTTCAGTTTCATGAAGAAGCAGGAACAGACTCCTGAAAAAAAAAAAAAAAAAAACCCAGAGAAAAAAATGAACTATGGTTTCCACTTCTACAAAGCTCTTAGAGCATCACATGACTTTCTTTTGAATTGGCATATTACACACCCCCTAAAAAAAACTGTATACTTTTATCCCAAGAAAAGTATTAGTCTTATTCTTTATTTGAATTAGTTTTTAGGCCAAATGCAGTAAAAGAAGTTGCATACATGATTGTGCTTAAATGTATAAATTGTGGCAAGACAAGGAGTAGTAAGAAATGTTTCTACTGTGAAGTCTTTAATAGAACATGTATCATTCATTTTTTCCCACTAATCCTCAACAGACTCCTATTATCTTCAAATAACAGGAGAGGCTGCCTGCCATTAATTTAATCCCTGTGATTTCCTAAGAAATAAAGACTGATGTCTATTGAAAATTATTCCAATTATGCTTTTGAACCTGAGTTCAAAACTGGTAAAATTACCACTTTCAATAATGTATTAACCTCCTAATTGTTATTCTCACTGTCATCTTAAAGCAAAGAATGACATTGGGGCCCAATGCTTTTATTCAACTTTGAGACACAATTATTTTTAAAACTTTGCTCAAGTTCAACCCACTCCAGGTGTAATCTAACCCTTTAAAATACATCCTAAGAAGCAATTTCTCTGCTTAAATACAAAAACTGGGCCGAATCCTTTTTATTGTATCCCATAAAACCAAACTATGTAACCACTTGAAAATAAGTAGAAAGTAACTAGGTAAAAATAGAGAAAAGAAATCTCACGAAAACACCAATGATAGAAGTACTGGAAGCTGGATGCTGTAGGTTATGCCTCTAATACCAGCACTTTGGGAGGCCAAGCCTTGAGGATTGTTCGACCCCAGTGAGAGAGCCAAATATAATAGGGTCCCCAACGTCCTCTGACCGGCTTATGCAGTGGGAGGCATGCGCATTGGGGTAGAGCCACGGAATTTCACACCATTTGCAGAGGGGAGGATTCTGGCTTCTCCTGTTCCCAGGTTGTAAGTGGGAATTCAGTCTCTAAGGCAGGAAGCCTACTAGCAGGACCCTTGCTTTGCTAGAGTCCCTGTTTCCCCCCTTTTTTCCCCCCTTTTTGCTTAATAAACCCTGACCTTCTACCCTTCAAAGTGTCTGTGAGTCTAATCTTTCATGGACATGTTGTGACAAGAACCGGGCTTTTAGCTGACCTAAGGAGAAACTCTTACAACACTTGGAGTTCAAGATCACCCTGAGCAACAGAGTGAGATCCTTTCTCTTTCCAAAAATAAAAAATTA